TTGAACTATTCTATGAATCAGCTAATCATGTTAACTCTAATTCTCTGTTTCTTTCTCATGTCTCTCCGGGCTCTCTTCATACTCCTCTCTATTCATTGTGTTTGTCTCTGACCAGTGCCCATGATGGTGCCTAAAACTACCTCAGAGACTTTAAAACACAAGATCAACCCATCACTGGACCTGGCTGAACCTCAGACTGTGCATGTGCTGCTATACACACCAGGTACAAAATGGATCAGTTTACAGCGTGTGTGATTATTTGTTGACTGCTCATTCTTAATACCCTAGTTTCTGACCATATCCCTAGTTGTATTACGCTAACTGACCTTTACTCTTCACAGCGTGAAACTTTCTGTCTATTGATAATTAGTTCATGTGTTTCATGGTAGTCAGTGTTCACACACTGAACCCCTGTCTGAGCTGAGAGTTTATCATGTGCCTCGCATTTTCTGTAAGCTTTATTCTCTCCGTTTAATTTAATGTATAGCTGTATGTCTGCTGTACACTGATTGTCACAAGACACTCGCTGTCAAGTGGTGGTAAGTTGTCCTGATGAGCAGGTCCGACAGGACAAAAAAAACGACATTTTCAGCATTATTTCCTGTAGTCATTTGTTCCTGTTCTGTTTCTGTGCATAAATCTGCACGTAGGTATCAAAACAGCAAATCTAGACTATTGTTTCCCTGCTTGATTGGCTAAATCATTTAGGTTTACATGTGCCAGCGTGAGGGCCTAATGTTTAAATGCATCTGAAAGCTTGTGTGCACATGTATATTTTGTAAATAGTTGTATGGCAACAGATGCTTCAGTGAAACCTGTCTACATAACCCCATTAGTCTTGCTGTGCTGCATATTAGCAGGCAGGATAATAGCTGGCTTGTTACTCTCTCATTTGTTTACAATGTGACAGAGAACAAGAGCTGGAGGCGAGGCTGCTGATCTGGTTTGAAGAGATCACTGAGTATACAGCAGATAAACAAGATTTTAAGAATTGATATAGGTTAGAGGCAACACACCAAAGGAGTGGCTAAAGTATGCTGTGACATAGTGTGTGTATTGATTTGTTATTTATTTCTATCCAGTAACTATGGTAATTTATAATCAGTTTATCGGGATATTGGAAAAATATAAAATGCAAATTACTTGTTAAGTGTTAACTACCTAATTGTAGTCCTTTCAATTTCTGTATTGCCATTTCCACTGAAGACATTTATGAACAGTGTGGCCCTGTCTGTAAAAATCAGTAGCAAGTGGAGGTTCTTATTTTCATGGTGGTAGTGTTTCCTACACACTAAACCACCCTGCTGAGCAATATGCTTTTATTTCATGCAGTCAGCTCTCATAATTCACTGGTTCACTGCTCTCTCACCCTTTGTCTCTTTCTCCAGGTCAGTTGACCAGCAATAACTCGGAGGGTGAGATGAACCCGAAACTGTGGGTGGCTCTCAGTGGGGGCAAAGTGGTTGTGTTTGATGCAGCTAGCTGGTCCATGCTACAGGATTGCATCCAGGTCGGAGAGTCGCAGCTGGTGAGAGCAGACATGCTGTACTCTATTGCTAGGAGTAATGTTTATTTAAAGAGTAACTCCACCAATTTTACACATTTGTTTAAAGGTCTTCGAGTACATGTGTGAAAAGTGAAAAGTTTTAGCATTGGTTTGGACTGAAGACATGTCTGTAAATAAAAAAAATCAGGAGTTAGAAAGAAGTGAGTTTACCAGACCTCTGTACTAGCATAACACACCTGAATCTCCGATTGTTGGCAGTTGAGTTGCATCGGGGGTAATGATACACGTAGCGGCTTTAATAGAGTTTTATTTAAACTTAATATTGTTTAGATGTTCGTTATGTTTTAATTTAATCCATTAATGAAATTATTTGTAACGCTTTGTTTGTTACATTGTGCTGTTTTTGTGCTGGAATCGTTATAACCTCTGTAGTTGATGGAAACAATTGCACATGCTGTACATTTATACGGTTTATTTACAGACGTACAATATATAAATTATACTACTAATTATGCTGTCATTGAGTCATTTAGCCTGCTGTTTTCAAAAGGAATTGAAACTAAGATCCCTTCTTCTATGCAGAACTGCATGCTGGGATTGATCCAGGAGCAGGTGTGGATTGGCTCTCAGGACTCCGTAATCTACATAATTGACACTCACAGCATGTCCTGCAACAAACAGCTGACTGAACACAGACATGAAGTGACCGGACTCACAGTGGACACCAGAGATCAACACAGCAGGTAGAGATGTGTTGTTCATCAGGTTAAATATTAAAAGCAGTCTTATAAAAGTGAGTCTAAAAGTACAGATTGACTTGTTGCAGCGCTGTAAAGGTTTGTGACGTTTAATCAGTCTTTTCAAACTGTCTTTCACAGCCAGCAGACATACTCCTGCAGCTGTGATGGGACTATTCTGCAGTGGGACTCAGCCAGTCTCAAAGTGAAGCGACAGTTCTACCTCAACTGTGACCGTCTCTCCTCCATACAGATCCATTATGGCACACTGTGGTGCTGTAAGTGTACACATTTACCTTTGCTTGCTACTCTTAAACAGTTGTTTTTGCTAATTTCATGCACAAACACTCCAGTGGCATTTAGTGTATGCTGGTAGCTCCCGATGACTGAATGTACCTGAGTCTTCCAATGTGGATTTTAATTCCTTTTTACTGTCACATATATCCACATTTTATAATATAAACTATATGCAACTGTAAGATCTACTGTGTATTCCTTTCTGGACATGCCTGAACTCAATCAATAGCGTCTACACATTGAAAGACCCTGATGATGATTTGTTGAACAGACATGCATGTATGTGCAGGTTGTGGTGACAGCATTGTGGAACTGAAAAAGAGCGGGACGCCACAAAGAAGGATGGTACTTCCTGATGACCTACAGAGCATGCCTAGTAGCTTCAGCAGCTTCATTGTCTTCCCAGAGGTGATTTTGCAATCCTCAGCTATTATGTCTATCAATTAGGGAAGTTAGCAGCCATTTGGTGATTTAGCAAGTCAGTTATTTGGTCTGCTGTTCATAAAAACATGTTCATAGGATAAGGAGTCACCGCAACTACTACTATAAGTATTTTACCAACAACTTTTCCCAACACACAGATATGCAAATACAACCGCACTGTATTTCCTTTGGCTTAGTCTAGTTTTTGTGTGTCTGTTCCAGCGAGGTCAGCTATGGACGGGCTGTGCAGAGTCAGGGGAACTATGTCTCTGGCACACTAACAACCACAGACATCCATCAAAAAGAATCTCTCTGCCTGGCAGTTCAGGAGTCACCTGTATGATACGAGTCAAGGACCAGGTGAGCTAAAGCACGTGTCAGGTGGCAGAATATGTGACATGTAATGTGTGTTGAACACTAACACCAGTTTCTTGTGGTTCATGGGAACACGAAGCACGCATTGCTTATTGAGGAAGTTGAGTTGAAGATTACAAACATGCATATTGGAAAGTATGATTCTGTTAGGCAACTTATGAATACTTCAAACTGTGTTTTGTACTGCACTATGTTACCTGTACTTTTGTCAAGTGGTCATGAATTTTTAGGTCATGTTAGGTTTTTTTGGTCTCTATCTGTGTCTTTTTTCTCCACTTTAATCATCACTTATCCACTGCTACCTTGCCTTGATGCCCCCTCCTCCTCCTCAGATCTGGGTGGGCTGTCGTGGACGAAGCGGTGTCGGGGGTCAGTGTGATGGTCAGCTGAAGAGTCAGGTGTTGGTGATGGACCCAGAGAGCCACACTGTGGCAAAGGAGTTACAGGCCCATTCGGACAGCATCCAGACGCTCTGCTCTGCTGAGGATCGCTACGTCCTGAGCGGCTCTGCACGCCATGATGGCAAGATTGCTATCTGGAAAGTCGAGTAGACACCACAGACTGTGAAAGCACAAGTAAAGTAGGAGTGGAGCATGTGGGAGAAAAAAATGCACTTGTGAGGACATACATGAAATGTTTTCCTGTGATAAAAAAGACCACCTTGTGGGAGGTTGTGAGGTTTTTTTCTTTCTTTCTGGTCGAGCATATTTAAATGGTAATTGATATTTTTTCTGCTGGTAAAATCACAAAATGGCGAGAGCCCTTAAAAATGACATTTTGAGACTTTTATGGAAGAGAGAGCCCTTAAAGTAAATATATGTATGTGACAGAGATTTGGTTTCTGACACTGGTCCTCAACTGTGAAGAGCAGCTCTTTTTCTTGGAAACAAACCTTCTATGCACATGCAATGTGAAAAAGGTAAAGTCTTTGCCTTCTGTATGTTGTTTTAAAAACTTAATTTAGTCTACATGTCAGCAGCTGTAAGATATTGAAATGCCACAATACCATCATCGTCATTCATGTTTTGTTATCAAGCATTTCTAATAAATTTAATTTTCAGTTATTATCATGAAGTTTGTTGGTCTGGCAGCCCAGTAAAAAAAAGCGATAGTGTTTTTACCGCCTCATTTCATTAAAATCAAGGGGAATCCTAGAATAATTACATAGAAATAGCCCATCTTCTCGCTGGTGGTCTCGTTTGCTTTGGTAGGTCACAGAAACATCAGTTATACATTTAGACTGTTTTATAACCAGTTAAAAACTCCTTGTAGTAGGTTTCTTCAAAGGATTGTTTGAGCAATGCTTGGGTGTAATTATTGACTGAATCAGTTTAGTTCCACATGTACATTGAGCTGTCATCAGATAATCAAGCATTGCTCACTTCTAATAGAATAAAAAACAAATCAAAGTGCTCTTTGACACACCTTTTTGCACACACTGTATATTCATAGACACGAGGCACTTTGGTGTGCCACATCAATTACAAACATCTAACCTTAACCATTAAACCAGATAAGCCATTTTGGCTGTAATGTGTATCACTAGTGCAGCATTAAGTAAGTCTGCACCTCTAAGTAAAGATACAGCCTTCAGTAAAACACCCATGAACCAATATAGAATACAAAAAAAGTTGCTACTTTTGTTATTGATTTGGTCATCATCAGTCTTAAAATTCTTTATTAGTACAAATACAAAGCAGCCACAGTCAAAGAGCTGGAACACAACAAATCTATGAGAATTAATCATTGATGACTTTCAGTAATTATTACCTTTTTACTTTGTTAGAAGGATTTAGGCAGACTCTTGACATTAAAATACACTTTAAGCTATAAATACATAGATCGCAAAGTAATGTAGATGAATGGTAAATTGAGGAAGGTCCTCTTGGTTTCCAGTCTTCTGTTCATGAGTGATGCCTTCATGCATATGGATGAATGGATGAATGAAAACCCTTTTCTGGTTTCAGTAGTATAATTCCTGATCCCACCAACCTGGGAGATTACAAGAATACACATTATTGAATATTGAAGAGAAGTGGAAATGTTAATGATTATTGATGAATGCATTTTAAATAGTTAGAAGGAAGGATAAAGAATCTTGGCTTACTTCCTGGATATCTTCTGACTCCTAACTTCCTGATCTCATCATAGACGAAGATTAGAATACCATATGGAACAGGAACAAACCACCACTGGACTCTGAAGAAAAAAACACAACATATAACATTAGGCCAGCTTCTGAAGCTTTTCTTTCTACACTGAACACCTTTTCCTCCTAATCAAGTCCGAGCTTTGATTTCAGATGGTGACCATGTAAGTGAGGCTCCGTGTGCTTTTACCTGATAGGCATGAAATTGAAAATATTGGGCATTCCAGGGCAGTAACAAAGCAGATTACCCAGACAGAGCTGGAAGACTATGGCAGAAACCAGGACACGGTTCCTGCACACAAACAAACACTTGTTACAATCAGAGGCACATAAGTTCAGGTCTAATTGTGTGCATGTGAAATGGACTGACAAAAACATGAAAAGACTGAATGCCCCCGATTGCACTTTACTGACCTGAAGAAGCCTTGCTGGAACACAGAGAGACGTCGAGTTTTCCTGATAAGCACATCTGAGATCTGACAGATCTCAATACTGACGAAAAATACAGTGTAGCACGTATACTCCTGGTACAACCTCTGACTGAAGGTCTGTAAGCAGAGTAGAGGACAACGGAGGAGTTATTTGGTTTCCAGCTTGGTAAAAACAAAAACAAATATTCCCTTCACCCAGGAGACAAAAATGAGACATTTTGTGTCCACAGTTTGAAAAGTTCCCAAAGGTAGGATCTCAAGTCTATATTAACCCATTCTTGTCCATAGCTGTCCTGTAAGTCTTGAAGGTGAACATCCTCCCACTGAGAACGCAGGCCGACACACAAGAGTGGAAACCAGCCCTCCTGGGCCATGGCTGTGAAATAATCTGTAAAACCTGCAAAGGACTGGATGGCTCCTAAAACAGAGAAAGAAGAAATGAAAATACTATTTTAAGCCTGTATAGATCTAGTTCACTGGCAGTGTGACACCATTCAGTGAGCATATGGGGCAGTGGCTCAGCCTCCTCCAGAGGTACGCACTCTATTAGAAGTATTATCTTATCTGCTTTACTGGGTGCAACAATGGAAGAGATGTGTCTAGCAAAGTCTGTAGGAGGGCTATGCATGTATTCCTAGCACTGGGGATTCATTCAGCCAACTTGTGTCAGTGTGAAGTAAATATTTATTTCAGTGTAGCTGAGGTTACACATATTTCTACATGTTTTGTCTCACCTATCTGGAAGTATGAGTACACAGCCAGGGATTCGTTTACCAGACGATCACGGCGAGGGTTCCTGGGCTTCAGGTGCATGATGTCACTCTCTGCTTTCTCATAAGCCAGAGAGACAGAGGGGAACTGCAGGAGAGACAGGAACAGAAATCACTGTACAGCAGATACAGACGTGAGGAAGATAATGATAATGCTAATTTACTATTAATGTCACCAAATCACCACTAAGGCTGGTGTGTGGTGATTCAAAATGAAAGTGTGTCTGTGAAATGCAAGCAAGTGTAAAACACAATCATCATCTCTGATGGGAATAAATAGTCAGTGTAATGACCATAAATTAGTCATTTGCTTTTTCATGCTGAACTGGTACTAATGAGGTAATTACTCACAATATCAGTGGCCAGTTCGATGAAGAGGATCGTGATGCAGCCCAGAGGAAGAGGCACACTGACGGTGATGTAGATCAGATATGGCGTCAGCTCAGGGATGTTCTTGGTTAGTGTGTAGGCAATAGACTTCTTCAGGTTGTCAAAGATAAGACGGCCTACACACACACACACACACACACACACACACACACACACACACACACACACACACACACACACACACACACACACACACACACACACACACACACACACACACACACACACACACACACACACACACACACACACAACTATGTGTACATTTCAAATAATGTGCTCTTTTGAGTTTAAATATCAGAGACCAAACAGGGAGAACAGAGACAATCCTTGAACAGAGAGAGAGGTTATGAGTGAGCCATCTCCCAGACCGTGAACATTGTGTTGTTTGGTCAAAAAACACAAAACTATTTTTTCCTCTATTCTCACCCTGCTCCACTCCAGTAACAATCGAAGCAAAGTTGTCATCCAACAGGATCATGTCTGCAGCGTTCTTGGCAGCATCCGACCCAGCGATCCCCATGGCGACACCAATATCAGCCTTCTTAAGAGCCGGAGAGTCATTCACACCATCACCTGTCACAGCGACAATAGAGCCCTAGGCATGACAGATGAAAACATTAGACATATAAATGTACACACACACAGTATATGAATACAAATAGTCTCCTTGATACTTCATAAATTATGTGCATAGGAAACTTGCTTTGGATTCATATAGTTTTTAAATGATCAAATAACTCCAATCATTGCAGGACTGAGAGGGCACAGATGATAAATTGTGTGTATTAAACGTGTATTTACCAGACGTTGACAACTCTCCACAATAATCAGTTTCTGCTGAGGGGATGTTCTCGCAAACACCATTTCAGGATGGTTCCGTAGTGCATCATCCAACTCTTCACTGCTCATCTCTTTCAGCTGACCACCACTGATCACACATGCACGGGCGTCCCTGCACGCAGACAACAGAGTTACATACACTAAATAGACAAAGACACATGCATGCATTCACACACAATAGCCCATGTGAATAAACATTATACTGCGATGGACAGGCAGTCAGTGATGGGAGTACCTCTTGTTGACTTGTTCCACAGGTATGCGCTTCCTCTGGGCAATATCTTCCACTGTTTCACTGCCTTCTGAGATGATACCAACATTAGCTGCAATGGCCCTGGCTGTGATTGGATGGTCCCCAGTCACCATGACAACCTGAAGTTCCAAGATGTAAACAAAAGTTATGAGACAGGAAAATGAATATAAAAGGCAGTCTCTTGCAAAATTCATGTGTTTTTGGGCACTGTGGACACACCCTGATACCAGCAGTACGACATTTCATCACTGCATCGGGTACGGTGGCTCTGGGGGGGTCAATCATTGAGATGAGACCAGCAAAGCACAGTCCGGACGTGGTGAAATTCATCTCATCAGGGTCAAATCGATAGCCACGAGGAAACTCTTTCTCATTCAGATAGATGTGACAGAAACCTGGGGGGGAGGAAAAGCAGATTCTTTTTTCACATCAATATGCTGTAAGCAAAAGGGAACTGACAGTTTGGAAAGATATTTTCAATACAGCAAGCCACATGATGGGTGAGTTTAGGGATCATAAGAAATACTCTCTAACCCAGTACTCTCTCTCCCAGTCCTCCCAGGTCCATATAAGCTGTCTGAAAAGCTTCGCTCCACTGCTCATCCAGAGGCAACTCCTGGCCTTTTATCAAAATGGTGGAGCAGCGCTCCAAGATACGTTCTGGCGCTCCCTTCATCACCAACAGGTAGCGTAGGTCCAGAGGATCCTCGAGTTCATGGATGGACAGCTGGAGAGAATGGTATGGTTGATAGAATCTTTTGCCCACATTTCTTCTGGTCTAAAATGTCGTAATCGATCAAGGATGATACAAATCCCATTAACAACAAAACTTCCTGCTCTCACCTGGAACTTGTTGGTGGAGTTAAAGGGCACCTCTACCACTTTCTTGAAGCGATTACGGTAGTCCATGATGTTCCCTACAGTGAGCTCGGTAAACTTCAGCAGAGCTGTCTCTGACGCATCTCCCACCACAGTCCTCTGTGTCATAAAAGTGAGATACAAAGGGACAAAAGGAACAAATCTTTTCTTACAATCATTAAGACAAATGGGGAATCAAAAATAACAATGTAGGCAAAATACAAAATACAATTTAGAAAAATTAGGATTAAGAACATTTTGTCAACACCACATGGATGTTAACAACTATATGCTTGTACCTTAGGAATAGGCACACCCTCCTGATCAGGTCTAAAAGTTGCTCTGTTACACAGGGAAGCCACTCTCGCCAGTGATCGCCAAGTTTCTGATGACTGGTCAAAACTCTGGCCTGGAAACCACACAGTCAAATGAATACTTTTTCTAAAAAGTAAAAAAACAAGCATGAGCAAAGGCTTTTATCCATGTGTTTACCTGACTGATCTTCAGTGGTATCAGCAGCGTGGATCTGATTGTCAAACCAAAGATGAGCTACAGTCATCCGGTTCTGGGTTAGAGTACCCGTCTTATCAGAACAGATCACAGAAGTGGAGCCTAAACACACACACACACACACACACACACACACACACACACACACACACACACACACACACACACACACACACACACACACACACACACACACACACACACACACACACAGTAGAGACCAAGCTTCTCAAGTCAAATCCTTATAAGATACACTTTTAAATTAAATTTTAGTCATTATAGGCTATGAGGTGTGGAGTTGTAGTTGAGGATGTAAGAACATTTTCTTTGAAAGAGGGGTTGTATCACTTTTATTCTACACATTGCAACTTAAAACAACCTGAACAGAAATAAAACGATCTCTTTCAGTTCTCCCAGATGGTATAAAAGACTGTCCCTGAACTCAACAAAACTGTCAGGAACAGGATGTGTGTATAGGCAAACTAACCCAATGTCTCCACGGCTTCAAGGTTTTTCACGACACAGTTCTTCCTGGCAAGTCGTTTAGCAGTCAGAGACAGACATACCTGTTGACAGAGACAGCTTACTACAGAGCAGTGCTCGATTAAACATACTGATTTACCATTTACTAATATACAGGATTTTAATTGGTACTATCATCCAAAATACAGTCCAGTTCTGATATTAAAAGACATAATGGACACCATAAATTCTGCTATTTGGACTCACGGTAACTGTAGCAAGTAGCCCCTCTGGCACATAAGCCACCACAATAGCCATGAAGAAGATCATGGCTTCCAGGAAGGCATATCCGATGAACATGGCAACCACAAAGAAGGTAAACCCGAAAAAGATTGCAAGGCCAGCAATGATGTCAACAAAATGCTCGATTTCTATGGCAATGGGTGTCTTCTCGTTTCCCACACCACTTGCCAAGCTGGCAATACGACCGATAATGGTACGATCACCTGTGCTGATGATCATACCAGTAGCAACACCTGCAGAGGACAGGAGAGTTAATGTCAATCCAGTCCATTCCAGCTAAAGGCCAGGCTATGTAGATGTACTGTTTACTGTACCTTCCAGACAGGTTGTAGAGAAGAACGCAATGTTTCTGGTCTCTAGTGGATTCTCATGAGTACATTCTGGGCTCCTGGTTTGCGGTTCAGACTCCCCTGTCAAGGACGAGTTGTCCACCTGGAACACAGAGTATATTCACAAAAGGTTCATCCACATGATAATGGATTGGGCTACACCTGCCCCTCAGATATGACACAATTTAATTGGAGTGCTTTTTTAACAAGCTCTCTTTGCCCATATATATGCATGGATATACATGTTTGTGATCTACCTTGCAGGCCTGACTAGTGATGATGCGAATGTCAGCGGGGACTCTGTCTCCTCCCTTGATCTCCACCAAATCCCCCACCACCAGATCAATGGCATTGATCTGGTTTTTCTGGCCATCACGGATCACAATAGCTTGCTATTGTTGGAGATTGTTGGGTAAGATTAGCAAAAATGGGTATGTGAGGGAAACAAGAGAGTGACATAAAAGAAAATCAATATTAAAAATCCAACAATATGCTGACATGGTGTAGCATTTCCATCACTGGTTATGTGCAACTCACCTGTGGCACCAGATTCTTGAAGCTGGCAATGATGTTGGTACTCTTGAATTCTTGGTAGTAACCAAAGCAACCAGTTACCACGACAACAGCAATTAGGACAATGGCCAAATAAAGCTGGAGTGAGAAAGAAGATGCAACCATAACAATGTGTTCTATGTCGGTTTTTTCCCACAGTGAAATAAAGGAGAAACACTGTAAATGGAAATATAAGTCACATTGTCAAAGCTGGTGAGGTTCCCTCTCGCAAGTTCAATTCCAAAGGCGATGAAGCAGATGACAGCCGCGACCCACATCAGACACTGCAGCCCTCCAGCCAGCTGCCTGGCAAATTTCACATACTCTGGAGTTCCTTTAGGAGGCTTCAGTTCATTAGGACCGTCTCTTTCCAAGACCTGACGGGCAAAGGTGGAGGTCAATCCCTGTGGATGGACAACAGAATAACAGATGAAACAAGTGTGTAGGGTTGGGGAAAAATGGAGCTTGGAAAAATTATGTCCAGGATCCATACAAAGGTAGAAAGGAGGTGCTGGATGAAAGAAAAAAGAAATAAATTAAGAAAATTAACTTATAACAAGAATATAAGTACAAGAAAGAAAGTCATTATGGAAGAAATGTCTTACCTTGGTAACACTAGTGTTGTACCTCATTTCTAGTTCTTCAATCGTAATCTCATGGTCGTCCTGTAGTAGGAGACATATGACAACATTGACTCAACACAAACGTTTAAAGGGCAAATCAGAGTGAACCAAGGTGATTTATTCGCAGCGGGCTGGTTATAACCTGGTGGTTATAAGTGGCTGGAATAAAACTTCATTATGTCTTCTCAACTAAACTAAAGTTACATATTGTCACTATGTGCAGCCTTAGGGATTCTGTAGTATCACCTATAAATCACAGGTAGGTTTATTTTTAAAGGACTGTCAAACATTACATGTGTCATTATTTACTACAACCCTCTCTACCAATGCTACTATTTTTTGGGCTGTACTTACAATATCCATTTCTTTCTTCATGCCCTCCAATTTCTCCTTCTTCTTCTGCTTCTTCTTCTTCTTCTTATCCATGTCTCCATCCATCTCAAACATGTCGTACGTGTCCTAAATGCAGACAGTTGTTGGCAAAACACACATTTATGCATGAAACCTGTCCAGTAGGTTGAGATTCTCCATGATATAGACAGAAAATATAATATTCTTTATATATCTGCTCTTTACTAAGTGACCCCTCAAACAGCTCATGTAATCGAAATATTTCCAAAAAAAAATACTTGCATACACGATTTGCGTGAGGCAAATAATCTCAAAACTTTAGGGCTTGGAGTACACTAAATCCATAACAGTCAAAGAAAACAAATGCATTCTGAAATAACTTGATCAGATGGCAAAACTTAAAAACTCAAGGCAAATGACTGCATTATTACACAATTGTGAAGTAGAAGTTTGTTATCTTAAGATAACTTTAGATATTTGTACTATTTCAATGGTTTCAAGTAAATAATTAGTTTAAATACAGTAGTGTAGTATATAAAGACACTGGTGAAAACATCTATCAATAGGAATTGAATTAACCAACTGACTGGATTTATTGAATGACTGACCAATGACCTTCAGTGACTCATTTCAAGTATAATAACTTCTAATACAAAAACTATACTTCTATACTATACTATACTACAATTAAAATGTAATGTTCTAACTTAAATATATATGAATAGAGTATAGTACGGAAGAAAAAATGAATAAGTAAAAAAGTAATAGCAAAGAAAGGTTCCTGATAAGGTTGTGAAAAACTCGTATGACCTAAAAGCCTGAAGACCTGTTGATGTGCTTATATTAAAGGGTTCGAGGTTCAGTGATATTTCTTGAGACACCCCCAGTGGAGTTTATAGTTTAATCTTTCAAATCATTCAGAACATCACAGGAAGTCAACAGCCTGCAGTGACAAAAAATCCCCCTTTTCACGTTCATAAAATAGCCTACTACTGGCTCTCCTACCTGTTTACTCATGGTTGCAGGTGTAATAGGGGACTGCTCTCCTAAATCAATGGAGGTCCAGACCACTCGATCCTTCTTCGCCCCCGGAATTTTGGCTTTCAGTTAGGGTCCAGTCCCAAACATACACCCTGTTTCTCCCTCTCCCTCACACAAAAACACACACACACACACACACAGTGGTCAGAAACAGGACAGCTTTTCTGGAAAAGCCTTTTATACATAACAACTCCCATTTTTATATGCACATGCGCACAAACACACATATGTTTAAACACGCACTTTTACACGGCTACCTGCGTAAAATGGTACCTCAAGTAGCAACAATGTCACCCCTAGCCAGGTCACACACACAACACACACATACATACAAATACACTCATATCATAAGCTATGCGTAGGCTACTGTTTCTCCGGTATCTCTTATCTCCTCTCAGCACGTTTCTTATCCGGATAAACTGATTGGGAGTAAAGAGCAGAGGAACAGTGAAGGTTAAAACAGACCAATGTCATTCCTACCAGTCTGCCTTACATTGCATTGTATCAAATTTACACCAATTGCTGCACTACACAACTACAATGTACTATTGGCCACCGAGTTATTCCGGAGGCTGAATGGGATTGATTGGCTTGATACAATAAACATGAGCTGAGAATCACAAGAAGAGGGAAGAGGCTTAAACTCAAGCATGCACAATCCATAGCCTGACAGCAGTGCCACCAGGCCAGACAGTCAGCATTGCCCTGCAGTGCCACAAAGCCAAATACAAGGGGAGAGGACATGAGGGAGAAAATTGCTTGCAGCCGGAGTTAATCAGCAATCACACCTGATGCCAATCCCAGCTCATCAGCACAAGTGACATCAACCACAGAGGCAAGTTAATGGTGTCAGCATGTCCACTGCAGTTGTTTTTCCTCCCCCCTGTAGGCTAATTGGTACAGGGCCTGGCAGTGTGTTTACTCTGATGACCTTCTGTCCTCACCCATCTCCTCCTCTGTCTGCCCCACACTACCACTACATTTGATTAATACACCCTTCTCTGCAGGTGTGTGCACCTCATTTGTCACTTTGTGTGGCTGTGCCTACTTCATTTCCACCACAACTCACTAAAAACAGAGTCTTTACACTAGCACAAAAAAGCACCTTCTTACAAAAATGTGAGGCCTCATAACTCTATATTTTGTAGTTATATATTTGAATTTGTGTAATGTAACATATCAAACTGGTTCAGTACATTCTGTTATTAACAGAAGGGACTATAAGCATTTTAATTTGCAAGGTTGATGCATTTAACACCTTATAGGATAAAAACTATTCAGGGCTGTAGTATATGACTGAGAACCATTGTTAAAATAAAAACACAGCCTTCGGCAAAGAGGTGCTGGATTAAAGTGGTAGTTTCTTTTGATTTAAAAACAGTACTCATTACAAATTTGAACACAGAAAACACCAATCATTCATATTTGGTTTAGTTTGTCTGTATAACAGACTTATGACAAAGGATTCTGCAACCTTTTGAGTTTTACATATGGGGCTTTTGGATTACAGATCATGTTCATAATGAAACAAAAATCCAAAAGTCACTTAATTCATCATTGAGAATAATGACCAAAATGGCTGATCAGGAATATCAAGAATACAATTGTTCAGTGACATTCGAGCCCAGCACTAACCTGTGTGCTAGGCTGTTGAGGGTCATTATATCAGACATGCGTCAGCAGCCCTCTCTACCATGCTCTCTACATATCAAGAACCTATGACAAAGGATGTAGAGGTTAAAAAAGGCACACTATAATTGCAGATAGCGACTCTATTGTGAAATATAATTAATCGGTAATAATGCCTATAAGAAATATCCCACCCAAACACACACATACAGCCCTCTAATTTTAATACTAGACAGTAAATCATTCCACAACATGGGAATGACTCAATTATAAAAAGCATTATTTTGAATCCTATAATATCATATTATTGTGTACCGAAGAGAAGTAAGTAAAAATGGAGCTAAGGTCACCCTGTCCCTTAAATGTTCCTGCCCACAACATGTTGCATGCTGGGTTAATAAGATCCAGGTGAGATAAGTTGTGTTTAAAAGAGTCAATATTGTACTGTATACCATAGAGTGACAGTGGCTGTGTAATCAAAGTAATGTTATCGGCCCGATTTTATCAGCTCTAATTACACATTACTGGGGGGAACAGGTGAGGACGGAGAGAATAAGGGGGGTGATGAGATGACAAAATAGAGAGACAGGCGCAGCTAGAAGGACAAACACACACACACACACACACACACACACACGCACACACACACACAAACACACAACCTCTGTAGCAAAATTTAAGAAGGATTGCAGATTGAATATCACTCTTCCAAGTGTGTAGGAGAAACTACAGTGGCCATGAAACTCACAAAAAACGTGAAAGGCCCCATCTAGTGCCAGTGTTTGGTTTATACGCTCAGGGTCACTGTAGAAACATGGCAGTTCAACATGGTGGAGGCTGTAGGTTTACCCAAAAAACTGCGAAATGCGAGTGTAGTATCCAAACCTTGCTAATGTACTGAGTGACCCCGACATGAAAAGAATCGCTGCTTGTCCAACATAAGCATAATTTATTGAGAATAACATTTTACTTGTGTTATTATGCTCATTCGAGATGAACTGTGCCTCGTCTGTAAAGTGGTTGAGACCAGACGGCAGCAGCAGGAGGAGGAGGTGACAAAGCTCTTTGATCAGGCGACAGCCGGGTATTTTCCCATCATTCCCTGGGTCTTGCAGTCGGTGAAGAGCAACTGCGGTGCCTAGCTCTAAAGCAGGGGTCTCAAACTCAAATGGGCTTGGGGCCACGACAGCTATTGTCATCTTGTAGGAGGGCCACTTTAACATTTAAGTACTACAAGAAAGTGCAATGATCTGAAAATGTCATTACTACCATACACATTTTTATATCATCTTTCAGCCAAACAACCAGATAACTTCTTATCAGCCCTTTGCAAGCATTTTCAGGCATCTTTGACCTTTTACTCATTAATTGCTGTTGTCTTTATTATAATATATGAAGAGGTAGTTTAAATTGATTTAAAAACAAGTACAAAAAATAATAAAGGTTTTTATCAGGGTCTATTTTAACCCTTGTGTTTATATTGTAGCCAAATGTATTTAACTATTCTTAACAATATTGTTTATATAAGTATATATATGAAGTATTAAACTAATTAAGTGTTTATTTATTGGCAACATATCCCATCTCACTCTTTTTTTAGAGACCCAACTTAAACCAGACCAGCCTGCGTTGGTTATTGGGAGCAGTTTGAGCTTTATTGTGTCCCACAGAATAAACTGTGGAGGAGAATATTTCTTCTATTTCTATAGTTCATTTCTTATTTCACCATTTTAATTGTACTTTCTCTCTCTCTCTCTCTCTCTCTCTCTCTCTCTCACACACACACACACACGCACAATGGCGGATCCACCTCTTTTTGCTCCTCTTCATGTCTCATGCAGGCTGTTATGTTTCTGCTCACTTTGCCGGAAATGGCCCGCGTGCCCGCAGTTTAAGTCGTTGAACAAGTGTGCATGACGTCAGAGCAAGTCGGACATAAACCTAACCGGCATGCATTGTGCGGCGATCGATCCTGGGGAGGCGTGGCTCATCTTAAACGAGCCTATATATAGTAGAGCCTGTTTAAAGCACACAGAGTAAAGATATTCTGTTGGGTATCTGCTCCTGTCGGTATTAAAGGGACTGAAGGAGCATAACATATAAGGCAAATATTGTGGATGTCCCTTTTGATGAAGGGAAGGAATAATAGAAAAAGGGAATGATGAGGAAAAAATAGCAAGAAAGATGGGAGAGGGGGTAATAAGGTTAGATCATATTACAAATGGCAGAAATCAATAAATGCACGCAGGAGAAGAAATAAGAGGGAGGAAGTCGTTTTAAGGTTTGATCATACAGGGCATAACAAAACAATGTAGAACACATACTTAAATTGTAATAAATATGAGTAAGAGAGGGAACGGCTTATACAAAGGATCAGGAAGGCAGGTAAAGGACCATGGAGGGGTACCGGGGACAACTGGAGAATGGGTAAAGGATGCACAGAAAGCCATGATAGAATTTTATATATTTATATATATATATATATATATATATATATATATATATATATATATATATATATAATTTGTATCATGTAATAAATAATATTATATTATATTATATTACTCCGGTACAGTAAATGGCGCTGTGCACCTTCAAAGTAAATGATTGCAATCTGCCATTAAACATAAACGAAGAAGAATTACATCCGCGTCAGAGGAGTTACGAGATGCCGTCCTGCGACGTCATCATTTTGCGACTCTGCCGGACAGACTTCTCCATGTGAGCAGCTTTCATCAAACTTATCGGGGATAACTGGTAAGTGTTGTATTTGTGTGACATCAGGTGTTGCTGTGGGCTCAGTGTGCATTCTGCCTCTGCACAGGAAACCTCATTGTATCGATTACCGGAGGAGGAACGAGCCGCTGTCGGTCGGCGGCCTTTCGGTTTTGCGACAAGGTCAGGATTGAAGCTTACATGACAGGAGCAGTGAACACTGCAGAGAGTTATCGCTTCAGTCAAAGCTACAGCAGCAGATACATAGACTGTGTACCTCAGGTCATTCTCTGCGTTGTAGCTTACACAACCAGCATTTCCTCGTTGTTAACGTTACACTACCCGAGAGCTCTGTGTCTCTTACAGACGGCCAAGATCTTTTTCTTTTCACCAACACATCTTGATCTATCCTCCACTGCCCCCTTAAGCAGGATGTGGGATGGGACCAGCTGTTGAACTTTGAGAAACCTTTTCTTACCCTTCCTATCTGTGGCCATTGTTTTGTCTCTTAGAACCAATGGCCAGCCGACTCTTGGGCAGATATGCCCGTCTGCTCTGCAGGGCCTCCTCCCAGGCTCCGGCTCCGGCCGCTGCTGCCCGTCTGCCTCCGCCCGTGGCCGGGCCGGCTGAGGTGCAGAGGGCTCAAGGATTGCCATGGGCCACAGTGAGGTTAATGTGTGAGGGAAGGGCAGTTCTCCCGAAAGACCCCATTATAAATGTGCCTGTACGCACCAAGCTGGATGACATTGTGGATAAAGCAGCAGTGCCAGAGGACATCCTGCTGGCCTGGGAAGAGCATAGAGGTAATGGTAATCAGGCTGCTAGAGCCATGATAAAGTTGGTGATAGACTTCAAGATTGTGAAACAACATCCACAACTGATGACGGATTCAAGGCTGCTGCATATGACCAGTACCATATCTAAGCAGGTAAGGAAGCCAGAAAGAGTGGTGGACTTGCATTATCATCATGTAATGTGACTGATATCTTATCCAAGCTCTTGTGCTTGTCTGTTAGGATTAAATACACATTTTTGTGTGTGTTACTTCTCTTCCAGATGAATACAGTGTGGAGCAGCAATCTAGTGCCTCTTTTGCGAGCATTCTGGAGTCTGGATGTCCCCAAGAAACAACTCAGTTCTGTTCAAGCTGAGGTGCTGTGGCGAATACGACGGCTACACTACAAGCAGCTGAGCTACATAGTAAATCTGGGCGCAGGCAAGAGCAGACAGCAGGATGTGGAACTAGTGAATGCTGCGTTAAAACAGCTGGAACTGCGCTGGACTGAAATTGCTGATGCTAGAACTCTCAGTGCACTAATATCCAAAGGAAAACGCATATCACCTGCCTTGATGGACAGACTTGAAGACAAGGTATCGGAGTTAAAAACGCCCATCACTATTTAACATGGACTTAATTGCTCACTTAAAAATGTTTGAATTTTAATGTAAAGTCACAAGATCATTGAAAGGAGAATGTGTATTTTGCCAATAGTATAAAATGTAAACATCATAATGATACTCGGTCACTGATTAGTATGCAGACTAGAATATATCATTAGTCTGGACAGACTAAAAATCCCAAATCCATAGTACAGTCCCTCTATCTGTCTTTATTACAGGCTTTAGAGATCGCAGAGAGCTTTACAGCGGAAGAGATCCGCAAAATCTGTGTATCTTTGGCAGCTCAGAACCGCAGATCTGTCACGCTGTTCAGAGCTCTGTCCTACCACCTTCTCCAGAAGCTGTCGACAGAGTTCACCACTCCACTGATGGTGGACATAGCTTTTTCATACGGTAATAAAACTGATGACATAGATGTTTTGGAGGATTAATTAAACTGTTACTTTTTGGGTTCAGACTGCAGATAAGGTTCAAATCAAGCAGGGAAATGGAAGCTAGTTGAGAGAAAGCTATGTTATGATTCAACTCGAACCGGTGAAGGCTTATAAGACTATTGACAAGAGACTTAAATCAGTTAAATCAGTGTTAAATCCAACTAAATAATATTATTTAGTTGGATTTAACACTGAAAATGTAAGCGTTAATGTCAGTACAACTGGTCTATTTTTATGCAGTAATATGTTGTCAGTAAATCTTTTGAACAGGATTTGTTAAACTTGAATATTCTACTTTGAATTCTCACGGGTAAAAAACATAATTTCTGGTGAAAGGCAGAGCAGATTAAAGCACTGTTTGCTCAGTAATATACTGTATAATACTTACAATTTGGTCTTTTCCCTTCTATAGGGAAGTTGAATTTCCAACATTCTCAGCTGTTTCAACGAATAGCCTCAGAGTTGTTACCCAGAGTCCCTGAGCTCAACGCCACCAATGCCACACGCTTGGCTAAATCATTTGGGTTCCTTAAATGGCTCCACATCCCTCTTTTTGAGGCCTTTGCTGAGGTCAGTCAAAAACCCACTCCAGTTAAATTAATTTTGAGTCGTTAATCTCTAATCTCAAATTATTGAATCATCCTCTCTCATTGTGTAACTCTCTTTCTACATTTTTTTCACCAGCACTATACAGCAAATAGACAGGTTTACAAAACCGTCCACCTCTGTAATCTGCTCATGACATTTGCCAGATTGAACTTCCAGCCCAGCAGAGGAGAACACTTCTATTCCATGGTACTAAATGACAATAAAGGCTGTTTGTTGACTGTCCATTGTTGCTCCTACTTAACACCTTAATTGTATGCTCTGTGTGCCATTTTGTGCAAAGGCTCACTCTATGCTGAAGGACTCTCTCTCAGGCCTGGAGCCATTTGTGTACACGGATGTTGTTTGGTCTCTGTGTGTGCTACAGCAGGCCAAGCCCCACTACCTTACCCAGGTCCTACAACAGGATGTTGTTTCCAAACTGTTAGGTAAGACACGTAGCTGTGGGCATTCATTTATCTCCTGTACATTCCTGTTGAATTCATAAATATGCAGACACACACTTTGTATTAGTATACATCACTGTCAGCAGTTTAGGGGAACCTTGGAGTAAAGCACCTGCTCCTCTAAACTAGGAGAGGCTGGTGAAAGTGGTTCAGACACCTTGTAAGAATGCGCGCGCCCCCCCAGAGATCAAGTATCAGAGACAGCAGAGCACAACAATAACAACAATCTGTGTTATTGTTTGGGACCATACTAATGATATGACTCCTTTTTTACATATTTTTTAACATCCTGATCTGCTGTGTTGTCTCTTGAGGCTCTTGGAACTCACTGCACACACATTCTGGCTCAGTAGATGGCAGTGCTGCACCAATAGATTTCTGGTTAGGCACATTTAGCTCTCACAGATACGAACCAAAGCCTGCTCCCCAGATTACTAAAACATTCCTGAAGTGGTTTTGACAAGCACTGGTGCCAGTGGGTTGTCAGCTCTCATTCTTTCTTTTATCTTTTCTGTCTTTGTTCTGTAGCGGGCAGTCCATCTCAAGCGGAGAACTATAGGCTGAAGCTCCTCCACATTGCTGCTACTCTCAAGTTAGAGCATCTGGATTCCTCAGATTCTAAATGCTCCTTGAGTGCCCTGCCTGTGTTGGCCAGCAGCTCCGTCCTCTCCCCCCTACAGAGCAGTCTGATAGAGGCTTTACAGGATTTTGTGGGTGAGAGAAGAGAGGCCCTTCGCACTAGGGTTGACACTGTGTATGGATGGACTATTGGTAAGGGGCCAAGGTAGCCCATATATACTTTGAAATCACATACATACCATGCTGTCTGTTGCTTTTATTACTGGAGTTTTACGAGACTTTTACACACGAAAGAAATATTTACCACATGTCTTTGTAAACCTAAAGGAGAAGTAGTTTCTGTTGAGGCAGAGAGCTCTTTTACACCTCTCATACCCTTCTCTAATCAGATGGAGAGATGGCTGTGGATTGTGACTACAAACCAATTGACATCTCAACACTGAAAGCCCCTCATCTACCCAGTGGAGGAGGAGACAAGGCTTTACCTCTAGGGGCCCGGCGGTGAGTCATAGAGGAGAATCAGGGGGGCTTAGGTTGTTTAAAGATTTACTTTCGGTTTTCTTTTGAATGTTATATCTACTTTTATTTTTCCCTCTGTTCCACTCATGTCCATCTTATTTTAGGCTTGCCTTCTTGGCTTGGGAATTTCCAAACTTTGGCTCAAAGACTAAAGACCTTCTGGGACGCTTTACCATGATGAAGCGACATCTCCAGTTGGCTGGCTTCATCACAGTGGAGGTATGGAGAGGCAGGAGAGGGGATAGCCAAACTTTGTGGCAGTATTTGTGACTGTGGTGATGTACTTCGAAGTAAAAGCTTTTGTTATTTCCTCTATACCTGCAAATAGGGTGAACTGAGCTATGTTCTTCAGATCAGTTTTTCATTACACACTCACTAAAGCCAAAAAAAATAATAAAAATAATTTTCTCTGTGTGTTGTGTTTTCTGTGATAGTGAGTCATATTTCATTGAACAGAGGCAGAGATATGTATCTGACAGGCTATGCTAACAACAGGACATAATACTTTTGTAGAGCTGAGAGTCAGGTGGGTCCCGCTGCAGTCTGTGGTATAAATAGAGCTCCAGCAGCAGCCCTGCCTCATCTAGGCCAATCCAAACTCTCTTTCTCATCTAGGACAATGTCCTTTAGCCAATAGTAGCATCACAGTGTTGCAGGATGTGTTAACTGGGCAACTATGTGTACATAGTTTGTGTCTGTAAATATATGACAATAAAAGGAGTTTGATCATTGCATTCTCTTAAGCACTGACTGGTAATAAGGAGGTTCTTAACTCTTTAACTCTTTAAAGAAAGGTTTTCAAATCCATCCTTTTTGTTCTTTTTCAGGTGCCATATTTTGAGTGGTTCGAGCTGAAGACAAACTGGCAGAAATTGGCATACCTGAAGGACAACATTGGGAAGGCTGTGGCTGAGGACATGGCCAAGTAAACCCATCAGTCTTGAGCAAATTTGCAGACTCAGCTAAGTCAAAGCTTTCCCAACCAAATGGGACCACAAGGAATACACACGTACACCCACATTCACACTCGCAGCATTGCAGGAAAACTCTTATACTTTGTCAGGGGGAAAAAAATCATATTTTTACTCTGGTTCCCTTGGAAACGTGTGGGGCTTTCCCTGTTTCCACGGTGATGATGAGCATGTGTTTTGGAGCCAGAGAGAGACAGAAATAAACACAGCAGCGAGTCCTTCAGTAGAAATGATCGATGGATAGTTTTTGCATCTGCAAGTGACAGTGAAGCTGAAGCACCTGGGCCATTTGTAAAATATTGGCCAAGACATTGTGCTCATTATCAGCATGTGAATAGATAAGAATAACTTCATAATGTCTGTGAATATGTGTCTTCTTGTGATGGAATAAAGTGTTTTATTGCTGTTGTTTTTTGTCTTTTTAATTTTTTTTAGGAGTATGACTATATGCCTTGTAGGATTCAGATTCAGGATGTGGGGCATTCGTGTGATGTGCACATTGGTACATTAAATAGTATTTGGTGTGGTATTCAGACAGCATATGTTTCATTTCACATCTAACAGCTAATGGCGCACCTCCCTGGCATGATGCTGTGAGTGCAACAGTGTTATTAGCAAGCAATTCTTGGATCAGAATAGAGCAGCAGAGTAGGTGTCTTAAAACAGCTTTGTTACCAAAAAGTAGTTTATTTAGTACTTAAAAAATGTTTTGGTTTGCAGTATGAAATACGAGGCAATAAAATCACTAAAAATAGCAAGTTAGGATAATGGATACATTTGTACATGTTTAATTTCTTCAGGTACTGTGTTAAATTTGTGTGGGTATTTTTTTAAATTTTTTTATCTTAATACTGAATCTTTAAAGAGCAACAGCATTATTATAAAGAGACGTTTCTCAGATAAACACTTTGCTGACCTGAAACTGCTTACCCAACATGGGCAGCACTCTGACATTAGATGCTATTGAGAAGTAGAGGGAGGGAGGAAGCCAGGATGCAAGCCAGGGCAGAAGAAAAAGAAAAAGAGCTAAACTGAGGGAGCCAAAGAAAAACATTCTGACAAATGAAGTAACAGGAAATGACAAACACAAAAATAAATTGTTACTCTGATAAACCATTACATGATCCAGAGCCATGGTGCCTACCTCATTCTTCCCGATATTCAGGGATTAATGGATCGATTGATGGACTGTTGACAAAGAGCCCTGCCAGCACTTCCAGTATTGAACTCCTCGATCATATTATCTCCTGTCTGTCAGGTTGGCAGTGTGCAGGTGCAGCCAATATGTTCAGGTACAGCTAATTAACAAAAGATGTGAAAATGCGTCACTGCACAATGATATTTCCTTCTTAATAAACAAGCTTTTTTGCTACCCAATATATCAAATAAACAGTATTTTAATTTGAAACAGACAATACTAGTAAAACATATTGTTCCTGCTCTGCCTCTGACTGATACCTGAGAAGTGCTTCTGTGTACACCTACAATCAGCGGATTATGTGAGTTGAAAACTCAGGAACGTTTTTTCTTTTTTTAAGCTGCAAGTTTATCAGCAGGTTAATTTCTTGAGGTCACCTTGAGTAAAGCGGCACTCACTTCTGCTGAGCTGGCACTCCATCATGGGAAATTTTGGGTTGCCATGGAAACTACCCTTGCTGATCATTTGGCTCAGTGCTGCCGCCCCCTCTCTGTCTTTCTATTTCCATCTACTTTTCCCCCTCACTTATTATCTTTAAAAGTAGAGAAACACAGGAGGAGAACCAGCTAGAGTGCTGGAGAGGTGTCTAAGATGGAGGGTTGAGACAGATGCTGTAGCTGCCCTCAGGGGAAATGTCTCCTTGTTGATTCCTTAGGGATGCAATCAGAACAGGAGGCAAAGAGTATATTTAGCAGTACACTTTAAGGTTTCGTTTCTGCTCTTTTGATTGTCTGTGTTTTCAGTTTCCCTGTCCCCCTCGATACTTTTGTTTTCCTTGAAACCCCCTCCTTTATTCAATTTCTCTTGTTTTTGCAGTACTGGTCCTTTCCTTCAAGGTTGAGGGCAGCACTGAGAGAGCAGTGGAAATCTGCTGACATCATCTCCCAAGATCCAGTCATAGCTTGGCTGAGAGAGATGGGGAGGGGGTGGGGACAGAGAAAAGAGATACAGGGAGGAAGGGGCCGGGGGGGAGGGAGCATGAATTGGGCATCAAGAGGAATACTGCAGCTCCCTATTAGATTCTACATACACTCCTCACACACACACACACACACACACACACACACACACACACATACTCACACACATATTCAGATGAACTGGATCATGAGGCTCTTAAACACACGCCCACAACAGCAGCATCACTGTGCTGCACCACAGAGAGAGAGACCAGCACATACTCCCATCTCTCACTCTTTCACTCTCTGTCTGTCTCATTCTGTCTCATACACAAACACACACACATAGACAGACACGTGCTGCAGGGGAGATCTGAGTGCTGGGTCGCTGAGCATTCAGGTCCTCCCCCCTCCCCTTCTTCTTCTTTCTCCCTCTCACTCTCTCACTCTCACTCCCTCTCCCTGTTCACCTTGTCTGTTCCGGCTGTATGGTTTATTGTTGCGTCAGAGCCAAAGACAGCCAGCGAGAAGCATGCCGGGGGAGAGCACGCACAGATCTGTCCCCACCGACAAGCATCCAGAGCAGGGAGCTGAGGAGACAGGGCTCCCTGGACCAGGTAGGACCTCTTGGGTTGGGGATGGAGCAGCTAGATGTGATCGAAGACAGAGACCAGGGGATAGTAGAGCAAATAGATATTACTAATTAAATTGTGGCAGGTGGGGAGAAAGGGGGACAGTCAGCATGGATAGAAAGCTGGCTAGTGAATGTGACAGACTGCTAGCTAAACATGATCTGCTTGAAACTGGCATGTTAGTTTAGAGCTTGGTCATTTCTATCTGTCTGTTGACATGTGCAGCTGTGATTCAGCTGCATATTAGCCTCCTCACTAAACTGCATGTTGCCCCCTCCCTCCAGCTCCCAGCTATTAGCAGCAATGCCCAAAGCCTCCGAAACCCAGAACTGTAAACTCCCAGCCCACCTCTACGCACTCCTCATCACTAAATCCAGATTAACACACAATCTCTTGTCCAAATGCACCATCTGACTTCTAAAACCTTTGTGTAATTGCCGTCTCTCCAGCACCAAGCCCCTATCCTCATAAGAACACCCAGCTCCGTCTTCCCCCACCCTTACCCTGGCCTCCTCACCTCTATCCCTCCTATTTAGCTACAGTGCCACCCCATCTGCATCCACATCCTCCCAGCAAATTTGCGAGCTGTAAAGGCAGCGTAGAGAGGCTCCTCCCTTCCCCCAGCCTCAGCAGGAACATGACACAGCAGCATGGCAGCAATCTGTAGGAACACACAGGCACAAGAGCTTTGTTATAGTCAACAACTATTTTAAAATCTTGTTAGTCATTGCTCATCTTGCTGCTGTATATTTGAAGTTGTGTAGTCATGAAATAAGTAAGGAAATACAAATTACAATAGGGATGTATAATAAGATTGGGTCGGTGCAGATTGGGAGGGCCAAGATTTTATTAACGTTCCCTTGAGTACAGTCCAGCCATTATGGTTAGAGTGAGAATGTCGTCAATGGAAGTCTTGTGACTACTGTGTCTTTGACAGTTATTGTACACAATATAGCTTTCATGAGTACAGTGTTGACAGTTATGATGGATAACCAGAATGGCTAGAAAGAAAACCCTGTGTGTCCTCTCTGCTGGAAGAGGTGGAAAGTGGTTTGCTGGTTTGGAAATTTTCCTGCTCTAACTTCATCATTGGCCTGATCTGTTCATAGGCTTGAAATTATTTTAAGCTTTCTTGGCCTGAATCTTGACAGAGGAGGGAGGAGAGAATTGTCAGATGCTCTGGTTACAACTAGTATTCTGGCACATACTTGATGTAAAAAGGCGAGGTTAGAGGATTGATTATGACTAAAGAGGGGAGGCAGATGAGGGGAGGCAGATGGAGATAGAGAAAGAAGCACCTGAGACTATTAGGGAGTCTCAGCTTCATGGCTCAATTTGAGCTGTAGCTGAAATAGAGGCTCCCCTTGGGGCTGACAGGCCAGTGCTGCAGCCTCTGTGACGCAGCTCTAGTTTGCTCAGCTTGCTGCGGCCTGCTCTTTGTACGGCAAGCCGGGTGCTCGATTTCACTGTGTTCCCCCAGAGGAGACTCCAAGGCTGGGCCGGGGAGGGGAAGAGAGGCAGGCATCCACAGATTACTTGCAGCACTGAATGTGCAGCAAAGAGACCGAGACTGACAGTAATGCTAGCAGACGTAATACGTGTCACTGGCTTGTTTAGCAACCTAGCAAAACAGTATTTCAACAGTATGCAGGTCTTACATGTGATTCTAGTGCCTAGCTATGTAAGGGAGGAGGATACAGTATTTGTGAATGTGTTCAATGTAGCTGTTGCTTTGTTTGATTTTCTATAAGTCAGATACTATGGGTATGTAAATAATCATTGTAGCCATGCAGGAAGAAACAACCACAATACTGCTCTGTGCTATTTATTTATATTAGATAGTGCTGTACATCTGAGTGTAGAACAGGAGTTGGCTTTTGTGCATGCTTAACTGTGCATCTCTCTGATTAGGTTTTATAGTCTGAGGCATGACTCAGCACGTACACAAACACACCTAGAGCATATTATTAGGGCAGTGATCAGGCTGCCCTGCTAAGTGCTGATGATTGCATCCGCCACTACCACAGGCAGGGCAGGAGAGCACCAAGGGACGAGAAGCAAAGGAGATATACAATGTGAAAGGAACAAAAGAACATGGAGGCGAGAGAAGGAGGCGAAGAGTCACAACTAAAACTGAAACAAGGAGAGGCAGCTATTTTTAATACTCATATATGAAACAGGACTGAGGAGAGGATTAGATAAAGGTTTAGAGAGACATTTCGAAGGAAAGAGACAAAGGAGGGGAAACAGAACAGAGGGAATTAGTGAGTGATATCTGGGTTCCTGGCAGAGCAAGTGTGTGTTTGTGGCTGACACCGAGTTTAGCCACTTGTGTGTTATAATGGCCAATCAGCATGTGGATTGAGGTCACCGTGGCAATGGCCCAGTTAAGAGAGCAAATTAAGATTCTGTTCCCTCTCTGTGTGCTATAGAGAAAGAGGCTTATATCACATCCTTTAGGGATATTTCAGTGATTGTATGGTTTTATTGTATGGTAAGGAATTTGACAACAAAATCATTAAAAATAAGCAGTGGAACTGGTCTTTTAGACTTTCCCCCCCATATGATATCCCTATCTTGCTCATGCACGAGACTCCCTCCACTCACTCCATTTCTTTCATTCATCCTGTCATTTCATCTCAGTGATTTTCCATTCCTGATGACAGTTATGAAGATGATAGCATGGTCTAGAAGGACAAGAGGACATTCAATAACAGTTCACTTTGCCCCTGGCTAATTGTGCAATTGTGCATGTTGATACAGAGAGACAGAGAGAGACAGAGAAACTCAGAGGTGAAGTAAGATAGTGTATGTAGAGAAGCATTGTTTTCCACTTCCAGCCTTATGGTGGACCACTACAGGCAGAATGGTTTAGTTTTCTAACACTTTAAAAAAAAACAGCCTGGTAATACTCTCTGTTTTCAGTCTCTGTGATTGTTTTGCTCTCTAAAGTCATTTGCAGTGTCAGAGTAACATACAGAGAGATATTTAATCTCTGGCATTCTGGGGAAATTTTTTGTAGCTCTCTCAGAGTTAGTGTGTGGGAGAAGAAAAGTAAAGTTCAACTAAAGAGATAAAAAGTCTATTATTGTACACTAAAGGGGGTGCAACCTTCCACATCATGTCTAGTGTTGTGGTAATACAAGATAATACAGTCAGCTCAATTGATCTCACTTCTCTGTTAGGCCAAGTTTTTGACTCCCTCCCCCCCGCCCCTTCCTCCCTTTATTTTAACTGTTTTATATTGCTTTTTCTGTTTTTCAGACATGACCAGACATCCATCTACTGACTCCACCCCTAGTGACAGTGGCTCTTCCCCTAGTGACAGTGGTTCCAGCCCTTCTCCTAGTACTCCTCAGAAGCTACTCCCAGCATGCACCTCTCCATTTGGACCACGAATATTTCATGCAATACCTAGCTCCTCTGGTACTCCAAGACCTCAACCTGAAGGCTCTGACCATCGCAACAACACACCCAGATTGTCTGGAAAGTTAGGTGGTCATGGACCATGTGGCCGCCATGTCCCTGTTAAAATGGAGAGAATCAAGGTGTGTGTTACGTGTTGATGAGCATGTTTGAAATTTTACAGCAGGTGTGCTACAAGGCACATTTTAGTAGTATACTAATATGAACATTAATATGTATGTACAATGTGTTATTCCCAGGTCCTGACTGGTTCTGAGGTGGAAAGTGACTATCAAGAGCCACAGACCATCGACACAAGGGTGGTGATGGGTCAGGAGACACTGCTGAAAACGACAGAAATCCAGAAAGAGAAAAAACTGGTTGAGCCAAGTGGTCAGGCTATCCCTTTGCCAGCTATCACAAGCTTTTCAGATTCCCAGTCACAAGCAAAAGAGACCCTCCTGGAAACCAGCAAAGAGGAAAACCAGGTCCAAGGCCCTCAAAAACAACAGGAGCAGCAAAAAGACCCTGTGCAGCCATCAACCACACTCCCTTCCCCTTTTCACAATCCCGCTTCCTCCCCCTCTCCAGAGCCAGTCACAACAGTTGACAACTTGATAGACAACCAGGAAGAGGGTCAAACCCTTTCTCAAGATGAAGTGCCTTCCCTCTCTTTTTCTGAGCTGGCCTGTCCAGTTGCTTTGTCCTTTTCTGAGCCTGCCTATGCTGTTGACCCACTACGAGTGGGTGTACCCTCATCTCTTGACCCTGACCTGTACTATACTGCCCCTTCCACCCCAATCAAGATGGCTTCCCGCTCTTCGCACCTTAAACATCATTCATATCCTGGCTCTCCAGCCTGTCCACTCTCCCCTGGCTCACCCTCAGACAGTGAGGACCTCTGTTCCCCTCTCACCTCTCCCTCTGGTTCTTATATCACAGCAGAGGGAGGCAGCTGGACCTCCTCTTACACGTCTTCCACTTCCCCCTCCACTTCTCCCAACCTGCTCCTCACAGAGGAAGCACAGGAGGCCCCTGCTTGCTTTGTGGGCTCCTTATCAGAGATTGGAGATGAAGTTGGGGAGGAAAAAGGACGAGCTGGTCCAGAACGGGAGGAGGAAAGGGCGAGGGACTTCTGCTTATACCGTCCTGAGGATTTTGTCATGAATTCACGAATAGGTATAACAGGAACAGTGATCCTTGAAGAGGAAGAAGCTCTAAAAGGGGAAGAGATCAAGATTTCCAGAGAAAGTTGTCGTCCGTGCTGGGTGACTGAGGATAATTCCCCTCTTAGGAGCAGTAGCAGCCGTAGCAGTGACTCCCAGGAGGATGGGGAAGAGTCTGAAAGCTCACTCTGCCCAATGGAAGAGTCCAATGCAGGAACAGCTGAGTACTCTAGATCCATGCAGACAGGCCTGAAACTGCAACTGGAGGCATGTATGCCAGATGAACATTATGATCAGATGGATGATCACTCAGAACTACCCTCCACTGTCTTGACTCCTGATACAGAGAACATGACCATGGCCTCATCTAGTCTTAGCCCTGATTCACCTGTCATCCCACTGGATGCCTTCTGTCCTGGAGCCTTTGGTAGGCTCGGCCCAAGTTCGTTCATGCTCTCCCAGGCAGCCTGTGCTGATGATATACCAGAGGAGGAAAGAATGATCCCTGCCTCCCTCATCTCCTTTCCCCTTCACACTAGCTTTGTCTTTAAGGCTGATTCAATGGAAATCACCCTCTTTCCCACAGAGGAAGAGAATGAAATAGGAGAAGTTAATGACATAAATGAAGGAAAAGATGTTAATGCATATGCAGCAGGAGAGGAGGAGGCTGATGTTGAAGATGATGATGATGAAGATGAAGATGAAGATGATGATTATGACTATGATGATGATGGTGATGGGGATGGGGATGGTGATGGCAATGCTAATGGTGCTGCTGATGGTGATGACATTGATGAAAATAATGTAGATGACAGTGATGAGAATGATGAGACAGGTGAGGAAGCTAAGGTAGAGGTGAAAGTGGTAGAAGAGGAGGAACAGGAAGAAGGAGAGCATGAAGAAGATAAGAAGGAGTGTGATAGCAAAGCAGTGGAGGATCCTGAAGATGAGGACAGCTCAGCATCATTCCTTCATTCACTTTCAGAGACATCTATCAATGAGGGGTTGGACGAATCCTTCTGTTTCCAAGACGATACTGATGACTCATTGGATTCTGCCTCCTATAATGGGGAGGAAGATGAACGTCTATACAGCACTGAGAGGCATGCACAATCACTAGAACCCACACCAATGGATGCACTTGATCCGGCTGAAATCCAACCAGAACCTGAACAGGGGTCTACCATTGAAACATGTCAAAGTGAACCTTTGCACACACAACTGAGCACAGAAAAACTTGTAGATCACCCCAAAACCACCTGTCTTTCTCAAGCCATTGCTGCCCACCCCGAAGGCAACATGATAGAACCCAAACCTGTGGATGAATCTAAACACCCTAAACCACAGTTAGATCCTGAACTGGAATCTACCAGTGAAATGGGTGAGACAAAACCTTTGCATGTGCACGTGAGCACAGACAAACCTGTAGATCACCAGAAGCCGCTCGATCACTCAGAAGCATTTTCTTGTCAACCAGAATCCTCCAGCATCCTGGACAAGAGTGGGATTGAGAGTGAGATGATTGATATCTCTGGTTCTTCCAACCCCCTTGAGCAACCTAAAGACAGCCCTAATTTGAACCCTCCCACCACTCCTGTTGTCATTCATGCTCCACGTGACCCTGCTGCTGAGGTCCACATCTCTCCCCCTTCAGCTAGTTCCTCACAGGAGATGACAGACCCTTACAGTTCAGTTCTTCCGGATGAATTGGCTGACGAAAATCCACAGATGACAGATACTGATTTGAAACAGAGCAATGATTATTCAGGGGAGGAACCCCCAGAAGAAGAACCAGAAAGAGATTCTTTCAAATTGCTCATCAAACCTCGTCATTATCAGCCAGAAAGTCACAGGACTGTAGGAGCAAGTAGACTTGTACTGTCAAAGTCATTCTCCAATAAATCTGATGTGCCTGGTGGGGCAGAGGCCATGTGTAGGTCCAGTTTTCAGAGGGAGTCTGACATTGAGCTTGACCAGAAGAATGGGAATGCCTCAGAGTCTATGAGTGTGGAGAGTAGAAGCATTGATCCTGGTCCATCTCTGAATCTGGCCACTGCCACCAATGATTTGAATAAAGGTGTTCTTCTTCTCTCCTGCCCTAAAGACCCTAGTCCTAACCTCAGCAATATCCCTGTTTCTGCCTCTCCAGAGATCATCTCAGAACTTGCTGACAATCTGACCCTGACCCCTGAACACTGCCCCGGTGACTCTGCTCAGGAGAACCTGAGGGAAAACACCCTCAGTACTGAAGAAGGGGTTCTGGGAGCTGTAGGATCTCCACACTCCCCCCTTGCCATATCACCCAAACGGGAAAACTCAGAAACTGACACAAGCAGGGAGATGGGCCCTAGAGTTGGAGCATGGTGTGATGACAGGATGGGGCTGGGGTTTGGTCTAGGATTAGGATCAGGGGCTGAGTTTGGGGTCTGGGGAGCAGGGGAGTCTCTCTCCTTGTCTCTGGGGAAGAGGTATGAGTTAGAGGCTGAGAGTCTACTCATGTGTGATGCAGAGGGCCAAAGCACACAGACGGCCATGGGCCCCAACATGAGCAGTGAAGAGTGCAAAAATGATGACAATGTTCTAAGTTCTGTATTAGATGAGGAAGATAACAACAGTCTGTATGAAAAGAGGGATCAGATGGCTGATGAAGAATTGGTAGGAGAGGGAGCTTCTGATTCCAACTTGGTCCATTGGAAGTCCATTGAGGAGATATCAGAAGCAGGGGGAGGAGAGGATGGAAGCTCCAGATTCCCAGAGGATGATGTAAGTAATCTGAATCCAGACAATGACGGAGATAACACAGACACACAAATACAAGACACTTGGAGGAATTCTAACAATAACAATGACTCTGCTTTTGACTCCTTGGAAGTAGCCATGTGTGGAAGTCTGAATGCTCTATCAGAGGAAGTGAGACCCCAGAGTGTGAATGTAAGTGTCAGAGAGTCTGTTTCCAATATTCCACTTGAAGAGTTGCCACCTCAGGTTTCGGACACAATTCCTGATGAAGACCGAGAACCAACAGACAGCTCCATAAACCAGACATCAGACACAACACAGGCCCCATCCTCAAAAGAAGCTATCTGTCGCATCTCAGCACCATTAGTTGACACTCCTGTGGACAAAAATGTAACAGACCAACATCTCAGTTCACCAGATAAAACCAAATCAATATGTCATACTAGTCCAGAGTGTCAGATAATCACTCCAGAGAGTAATACAGCATTTTCTTTGCTACACGGATCCTTTGGTTCCTTTACTCCAAAATGTAAATCTAATGAATTCAGACCAAGCAGAGCTTGTCAAGAGAAGATGGAAAATACCGGTTCCCAGTCAGAGCTGCTGGAGCCTCAGACTGAAGGCCAAAGAAAAGGTGATGTCAGTCCTGTGACTGACAGACTTGTTGATGAACCAAAGACTAAAGATGCCTTTAGAGGACAGAAGAGTGTTGTTTGTAACTCAGGGGAGGAAGATGAGGAAGACAAATCAGAAGAGAAAGCAAATGAGAAAGTTAAGAAGAACAAAAAGGAAAGGAAAACCTCTCCTGCACAGAATGGTCCAGAGCACTTTCCGTGTCACAACCCAAAAGGGGAAATTTGCACAGATAAACCAATAGCTGCTAAGAAAGGGAGGAGAGGGAAGCAGAATAAACGCAGGGCATCCCAGACAGGCAATCATGCTGACTCCAGCTCTGAATCTGTTGATGATCCAAAGAATCCTTCTGCTCCATTAAATACCACAGCAGATGGATGGTCAAAGGGGATTGCGGACAATTCTAAAACTAAGACAGGCAAAAAGGCAAACAGCAAAGCTTCATTGTCAGACTGTCAACAGAGGACATCTGGGACCAGCCAGGCTGAATCTGGTTCACAGATGCAGGGGGACGACAGTCCCAGCCCTGATGTCAAAAGTCCAAGCCATGAATACTGCAATTCTACCATGCGTACTGCAGACAACCTCAATGTTGTATTAGCAATGAACCAAGAATTACACCAGGAACAGGAAGTGCTTGATAACAGACCACTATCTGATAGTCAGAGAGGAATCACAGTGGACATTAATGACAACAACATAGATATTGGCCACAGTCCACCTACCCAGGATCCCATATCATACTCTCTGACTCCACCTTCTTCCTCAACATCTCCTGTTTCCTCCTCCTCCCCTCTACCTGCCTCAACAGAGCCAGAGAATGATCTCCCCACACCCGTGCAGGAATCCCAACCTGTCCCCTCAGCCAAGCAACAGTCTTCACTGTCCATGTGCCACACCACCCCTACGCTTTGCGCTACCTCCCCTGCAACACAACAAGCCCCTGATTCCCAATTTCCTAACAACAACCTCCAAGAGGTCACTGTTGTCCTTTGTACATCAGCTACATCTGCCACAAGTGTCTCTTCACCCTCATTCTCCACTGCCTTGCCATTAAGCCTATCCCAGCCTACCCAGGAGTCATCTTCACCTGGGTCTGGGACTCTAGATGCAGCATGTGTTCCGGTCTCTATTTCCCATCCCCAGTCCTATTCACAGTCTCAGCCTAATCTCAACATCCAGCCTCACAAACAAATCAAGCAAGGTCGGACATGGAGCACACAAGACAGGTGCAGAGGTGAGTATTATGATAATTTGTTAGATTTATATCACAGTGTGATACACACTGACGCATTTCATATCATATTCCTTACCCTATCCTATTTATTATAGTCAGTTCTGCCAACAGTCAAAGGGCTACTCTATTCCCCTGGTCTGTAGGTTTTAAGCTTAAAAAAAAAGTCAAATGTGAGCTACAAATATACAAATGCTAATATGATCAATCAATGTGTGCTCTTTAAGGTCCCATTTTGGCTGAGGAAGAGACAGACAGTGAGGATGATGGTGGACTGCCTCGACGTGGTCACAGAACCCAGCCCAGAGGAGTTGCAGGAAAAAGGAATGGATCGATGCAGAAAGAATCTGGTCCATCCAATCAACGGGAAATACAACCTTATTCTGCCCAGAAAATAACCGACAGACAGTCAGGCTGTCCAATCAACCACAGCCACAAGATTTCTGAAGAGATTGACCTATCCTTCAAAAACAATTGTGAGTTGTTTCTGACCTCCCATGGGACATAGGAATCAGCATTAGGAATCCCCTAAATTTCTTTAGTTCTGTGTTGTACGCTCCACCCTTTTTCTGCCTATTTCCATCTCTCTTTCTGTTTCTACAATTGTGAACCCACAGTTAGTTATTCAGTGTTACATGTACATTTATTTGAATATAATAAAATAGGACTGAATAGATTGAAGTGGCTGTACTTTTGTGACAGATGACAAGACATGTAAATGCTCCACGTTATACAGTTCACTATTTGAATTATGGATGAAGAGTGCCCTATTATTGCCAACAGAGCGTAATGTAAAAATCACATAGTAATTCATTTTCCATAGGCTAATTAAATTCCCTGGAGTTGATTGGGTGAGCTTTTGGGTTTTTTAATGAAGACTCTTAATCAGTGTAGCACTAATGAGAGTCACTATTGCCCTACTTCTTCTATGGTGATTAGTTTTTATGGAAATAAGGATATGATACTCTTCACTTGCATGTACTTGAATGTGTGTTCAATATTCTTGTGTAGGTTCCATATTGGCTTCCTGTAATGAGTCTGAGAGTGAGGGGTCAGTGCCTGAGCTGGAGGAGCCGGAGCCACTGAGACCATCAGAGCCCCCAGTGAGTCTGTTCATGCTGCTTTATTGGGAACCATCTTTTCCTGTACTGTATTACTTATATCTTTTTTTTTAACACCTAACACCTCTGGCATACCAACTAATACCTAGAAAATGTTGGACTTTTATAACGTATTATATTGGGATTACATTGAAATTATGTTGAGAAATATAACTTGTTTTTTCAAGATCCCGCCACAATGATTTCACAATCAGGAGGAAATTCTTTGCTTCACACTGACAGCCTGTGGAGGAGAACACAAAACATAAAAAAGAATCACTTGGCCTTCTGTATATAAGATATAACCATGCTATTGTCTTTATATTTTCAGTTGAGGAAGTTTATTGTCTTTATTTATTTAGCCATAGTGGATAATATCATGCCAAATTAGTATTTTTTTGTACTTTAAGAAAACTCCTGTTAGTGCTGTTTCTATAAACTAAAAATGCATTGCCTCAAAACTGCCTGGCAACAACAAAATAGCTGTGAAGGCTGGGGATGAGTCACTTATGAAAATGTCATCTGTAAAGTAACTGATATTTGTTTTTCCCTTCAGTCAATCTCTTCTGCAGATGAAGGGCTAAACAGACCAAAACAGAGCCGTAGTGAGAAGAAGGCCCGCAAGGTTGGAATAAAAATTAATCAATAAAGTTTAAAATTATATTAAAACTCATCTTTTGAGGATATTATTTAATTTGTGTTCTTTTGTCTTTCTTTCTCGCTCTTTCTGCTCCTGTATGTGTATGTAGGCCATGTCTAAGCTGGGTCTGAAGCCAGTCCATGGTGTGACCAGAATCACCATTAGGAAGTCCAAGAGTATCTTGTTTGTCATCAGCAGACCAGATGTGTTCAAAAGTCCTGCATCAGACATTTACATTGTATTTGGAGAGGCAAAGGTAAGTGTTTCTTTCTTTCTTTCTTTCTTTCTCTTTTTTCTTTCTTTCTTTATTATCCAAGCTTTGATACATGTATGTTATCTCAATCTCTCCTCTCTTCTCAGATTGAGGACCTGTCTCAGCAGGCTCACAAAGCAGCTGCAGAGAAATTCAAGGTGCCTGTGACCTCTTCTCCCTTGACCCCACCTGTCCCACCCAGCCTCACCATCAAGGAGGAGAGTGAAGAGGAGGAAGAAGAGGTACTTACTGTCTAAGCTATTGTTTTTGAACACCTAATGTCAGTACAGTATCTTGTAGTGCTCAGTAAAATCTTTTATTCTGTTGTTAATGTTATATCTCTCTGACTTTTGTCTTTCTTTCTGTGTATCAGGTGGATGACGGAGGTCTTGAGCAGAGGGACATTGAGTTGGTGATGGCTCAGGCCAATGTGTCACGAGCCAAGGCTGTCCGTGCACTGAAACACAACAAGAATGACATTGTGAATGCTATCATGGTGAGGAGGAAGGAGGGGGAACGATGGGAGTGAGAGGGGAAGAGCGAGAGGGTAGAGGGAGGGCAGATGGTGAACAAAATAATGAGTCATAGCCAGTGAGCAGGGGAGTGCACAGAGGGAGGATGGGTGGAGTAAAGGAGGAAAAGCAGAGGACAAATGACAAGTAGAATTTCTCCCCAGTAACTGAGCAACCTCTACGGCTCTGTAGGTCATCAGTGCAGTTTGATGCCCACTAGGTGGCAGCAACAACTCACACTCAGATAACTGAGTTGTCTAAGTGACGCAGATGATTTTGTTCTTGACAAGATGGAAAGTAAGATGAAGCTACCTTAAGATCACTAGCAAAAGTATTAACAGAGCCTCTCATATTGCCTATCAGAGGATTTTATTTATTTAATCAGTTTGACATCTCCTACAGTGACTCATCTCATTTCAACAGTATTGTTTCATATTCTAGTTTAATGAAGGAAAATCTAATCTTTTTTTCATCTGGATTTTATTTATTACATTGTATACAGCTTTCACTGTTTAATGTTTACTGACTGCACCATTCTTACTTGAATCTCTTTCTGTCTCTTCTGTCTTTCTCGTTCTCCATAGGAGCTTACCATGTGAGTGGTAAGGATGACTTGACTCCTGGCCCCCTCCTCCAGCCTATAAAGCCTAAACGCCACTGACTCTTCTGTATCGCTGCTACTGTATGTTGCATCCCCAGTATCTGCTAAATAAAGTCTGTTCCAACGTGGGCTGTGACTGCATTGTAAAATTGATTTCACTCTTAAGACCGCAGATGGTTTGGTGTAACTTATTTTAACGTGAGGAGCAGCACAGTCCTTAACATTCTGCAAATTCACAAGGCCTATATTTTAAACTTATTTCCTTACCCCATTTGCAGAATTTTGCCAAACTTTTAAAAAGATGTTAAAAAATTATCATATCATATGCAAATGTAAATCTATCAAATATTTTTTATCTCATAGATGGGATATGTAATCCAAATGTAAACAAAACCAACTTTTAACTCACAATTGGAACCTGCTGTCATCAAACTGAGCGAGAACAACATAGTCTAAGTTATTGTCTTTTTATGCTTATGTTAGGGGTTAACAGGCCAATATTTTCAAGTATGAGCAGTTGAAAAACACATAACATGCTTCTTCATGTAAATTAAAATAATTAGATTGAGCATTTAATGTGCAAGTTGTGCTTTATCATTACATGCTGTTCATGTGTGGCAGAAGCCAAGGACTGGCTGAAATAGGCAAGGCAGAAACATAATTTCCGGATTTTTAAAATTACCATTGTAGGTATGCTGCATTGTAATTTTACCATTATGTATAATTGTTTCAGTGTTTTACAGAGGTAGTCGGCAGATATTAAAGAAATACTTTGCACTCCTAAATTGTTTTTTGGACTGTATGCAAAGCTCAATAATCAGTGTTTACACACTGCAACTGCTTACATTGTCTAAAAAGTTATTCTATTCGGGAGTGTAGCACAGAATTCTGGACAGGCATTCTCTATAGACCCCTCCCCACATCCATGGCCATTAATTCTAGTATCTCTGTGGGCCTTCTTCACAAGAGGGCCAGTCCCCTTTTTCTCCCCAGTCTTACGCCTCTGCCTATGTCATACTATAGAGTTACACTTTGGTAGCACTGTGCCAGATTCAGATGTCGCATTTTTCTAAAAAAGCTGATGTGTCATTATAAAATTAAACTCTCATTTTCTTCTGTTTCTCACTCTCTTATAATGTCACACAATACAGATGACACAAGCAAGCACAGACAGATGCCAATTGCAAATAAATGCATCTATCAACTTTATTGTACAAAACTGGTTAGAGTACAAAACACACATCTGGGACTGCAGCAGGGTTCTGCTTTGACAAGTGGTGGCAATGATACAAACTCATAACAAGCATGTTGAGTCATCTGCTTTAAATTAGTGAGCAATGACTCCACATTTTAATGTGTAAAGTCCTTTTGACTGACTTAGTTTCCCTTCATACACAAATACTGATGTGAGGCTATGATGTATTTCAGTGTGTGGAATTATAAAGGTATTGACATTAATTAATGAAATACTGTAAAAGCAAAGTAAATGGCCATCAAGATTATACAATCCAAAGGTCACAGTAAATGTTAAGTCATATCAAACATTAGTGCTTCTTAAAATAAGCACTACTTCTTCATACACTCATTTGCAAATAACAAACATAGGACTTTAAGTCCGACTGCATTTCATCTTACAAAATCCCTTCAAGATAGTTGTATGGTTGTCTATTAGGCAAGAAGTTGAACTCTCCTGAGTATCCCCCATAGCAGTGCAGGCAGATAACTTCAGACTCCCCTGGAAAATGAAATAAATGCCTCCGGACTTCAGTCAAGTGTTGGTGAGCTGGGAATCTTTGATTATTTAGCGGGGAGGACATTGTTCTCAAAGTGTCCCTGGTTAGTGACATTTCCTGCTGGGGAGTATCTGGCCACCACGAAGGAAGAACCGTCTGATGCAATGGCCTTACCGACACCCAGACTTTTAGTGCTCTTCCATACCATTGCTGTGAAATGGCCTAAATGGTGGGGGATATGATAAATGATAAATAGAAAGAAATGAAAAGCAGAAAATAGAGTGTGCGAGAGAGAGAGAGAGAGAGAGAGAGAGAGAGAGAGAGAGAGAGAGAGAGAGAGAGAGAAAAAAAACAGTGTTAGGACATGGCTGGGGCTGAGTGCACACAGACTTAAGTTTCTCTAAATATTTACAGATTTAATTCCTCTCTTACTCATTCAATTCAATTCCATTCAATTTTATTCTCACCAGTCCCAAACATCTGCTTCTGCCCTGTACAATTTATGCCGTTGTTTCTCTAACAGGCAACCTTATATGAATCAGTGTGAATCACTGGGATGAGCTCCTGTGAGTGATCTGCTGCATGTGTGATTAAGTTAAACAGAGTCTGAGGCAATGGGAAACCATCTGAAGAAATTAGGGCAGGCGTGTGGAAATGACATGTGAGCTGAGGAGTGATACAGAGGACTGAGATTTCCCCTCAGTTTCCCCATGGCTGGTCACTGAGTCAGACAGTCACACACTGACTGAGGTGTGACATCAGCATGGGAATAACAACAACCTTGCCCACGCCTGGGTAAACATGACACTGACACAGAGAAACTGACAACGAGTAAACAGAAAATTAAAAATTTCCCAATGCCCAATATTCAAATTGCTTGTTTTTTCCAACCAACAATCCAAAACCCAAAGATATTCTCACTATTGTATTTACTATCACATAATCACAGAATATACGCCATTCTCCTTAAAAACAACTCAATATAATTACATTTTCTTCACATCAACTAATCGATTAATGACCTAATTGTGTCAGCTCTAAATTATTTATCATGTTATTTTGGAAATCCATAATACACATAATACATACACACATAAGCCATATTGTTATACACTGTATATTAATATTGGAAAAGTGATTATTTATGACTATCCTGATGTTGAATTTAGTCATGTTTTGTTGTTATTATACTGTAGATCAGAGAACGTTTGCCACTGAAAGGTGTGTAAATCTCACCAGTGCTAGTGGAGAATCCAGGACGGTTGAAGTTGTACTGTTTCACTTCATCATACCAGCGGTCTGCCACATCTTTTCCTGCATGTGCACAGAACAAAGTGTAACCTCAACTTAAAGGACAATTAAATCAGTCTTGTGTCATACATATTGATCAGAATGAAAGCAATGTAAGAAGACTGGATCCTGGAGCTATAAATACCCTTTGGGCACATGTTGTGAACAGTTCTGCAATTTCTGTCACCCAGTGCTGCAGTGTAGGAGATGTTTTATGAATCACACGGTCCCGCGCTGACATATTTCTGCAGTGAGTCATGGTGTCTGAGCTCTCAAACACAGTGCGAAGTGGAGGGGAAATAGATCCCAGCTGTTCACTTTCAGTGTAGAACAGACTGCTTTAAGCCCCATAGACTAAACTATTATCTATGGAGGGATGTATCTTATTAGATCTGTCTCATCCCGCCACAAAGAAGGCATATACATGAAATCATTCAGCTGGTGTATAAAGAGTATATTGTGTACTATGTATGTATATACTGTATATGTACCTGATTGGTCATAGGAGGCCCATGCCAGGTTCTCTCCACAGCTCCCTCTACTGGACTCTACACTGTGTTTCAGGATCCGTGTGCTGGCCAGACTTTCAGCATAACTGTGGACAGAGACACAGAAATGTTGTGAATAGCACCATTGAAATTGTCTTCTCTACTATGAATCCTGCAACAAAATTCATTCCTGCAATCAAGAGCTTCCCACTGTGAGTGGTGTATACTTTAAAACTCATAACCACTTAAGATTTAGCCTGCCTAGCAGCCTCAGGTTTTAAAAGCTCCCTGCACTGTGCTGTCCCCCACCCCCCCAAAGATAAACAGTTAAAAACCCTTACCTCCAATGGAGGCACAGAGACCAGTTCCTTTGAATAGCTGCTTTTGGTAATTGCGTTGATATTATTACTGGTTCAAAGGCAGAATGGGGTGTATATTCCATCCTAATTAGATGTTGTAAAGTTCAGTGCAAAGTGTAAAGTAGAATTATAAAGTAGTATATGCTAACTTCAGTGGTGGAATGTAAGTGAGTACATCTACTCAAGTACTGTATGTAAGGACAAATATGAGGTCATTTACTTGAGTATTCCCATTTTATTCAGCTACATTCAGAGGCAGATATTGTACTTTTTACTCCACTTCACCTTTAACTAATTTTCATATAACATTTTCTTTACAGCAGTTATATCAATACAAAAACATCCTATATAATAGTAAAACACTGACTAGAGAACTAGGAACTATTTTTCTGTACAATAATACTTAAGTAAGGTTTTGAATGCAGGACTTTCACTTGCAGTGAAGTATTTTTACAGTGTGGCACTGGTACTTTTACGTAAGTCAATGATCTTAATACTTCCTGTACCACTAGCTTTTATCAACATGATGCTGATGTGCTGACAGCATTTAGTACCGACACAAGGTTCAGCAGCTTGGCCTAGTAACTTGTTCATTTAAAAGACTGTATTGACATATGCGACTGCCATTGGGCCTCAGTGACTCTAACAACATGGCGTGGATAAACAACAGATGTCAAATGCCATGGGTGTCCCTCATACCAACAGTTAATGAGGCTTTTTGGATGACATGAAACTCCAGCTCTTCAATTACAAGTCCAGTGGGCTTTGTTACTTATTTTGTTGGACTATGTTCTAAATCTAAACTGAAATACAAATGACTCCCAAGACATTTGACTGTAAATGAGCGAACAACGCCATAACTTTCTCTCTAACAGGGGTGAAATAGTTATGATTGCATGGTAAGTGCCTTTACAAATGTCAGTTGACACAGAGCTAGATGTAAAAGCACAATTCATCATGTTACAAATGAACTGTGCTGCACTTTAAATAGTTGAATATCTCCAAACTCAAATTTTCATCATTATAGGTATTAACAGTTTTCAGAATACACTCACATCAGCAGAGATGTAAACAGTTTATCATTAAAGGACTAAAATACATTTTAACATATTAAAATCAGTTAAGGAATAAACATTAACAAATATCAGGTATCTTTAAATTGAAGCAGCTCAGTATTGTTGTTGTTATTGTACCATTAAACATGCTTGAGGAAATGGACTGAATGTCTATTATCCAAGGCAGTTGCCTCTGACAGTGCCGATAAAGTTTGCATTTACTCAACAGAATAAATTCTCTTCAGGAATAATGATATGAAAAGCTAATATAGCTGCAATTAGTGGAAACAAAATGTCAACATAACTTGTAATCACTATGTAAACAAACCAAGACCCACAGTATCATATTGTATTTTGTAGTTATTTCATTTGACAGGCCATGCTGGAACTGTCACTGTTATCCAGAGCAGTTTGACAATGACTGGTATGTGTAGCCCTTGCTAATTAGATTTCTAATTAGATTTGTGTGTGCATTAACCCACCGGCTAGCCTCTCTGCTCAACTTCCTGCTCAGCTTCAGTGGAGGAGCCTGGTGCTTTCTCCTGTACTCATTATGGCACTGAAGCACCTCCTCAGCAAACTGCTTGGAGGCTGAGAGACAGAGAGGACAGAGACAGGAAGGGTTAGGCAGCCAGAGGGAGAAAGGAGACGTGATTCATGCACCAACGCACAATACAAACCCGAGATGAAATGTGAGTTAGAATCTCGCCACCTGAAGACTGACTGACCTCAGACAGTGAACTCGAGGACAGATGGTGGAGTAGAAAACGTCATCTGCATCACCCCCATCTGCCTGGTGCCTATCACTCACTGGCCTTTTCATAAGTCCCTCAATCACTCAAGTGCCCACACAATAGGCACATTGAAATGGCCACACACAAACAAAACAAATACCAGTGCTGCCTAACAGCCAGCATCTATGCTCAACAAGCAGGATGAATCTTAACTAAGAATGAGTAAATGTTTTGAAATCTCCCTGGAAGCATCATGAACGAAAAAGGGAATTAGTCATTTCTTTTGCAATTGTGTATGTCCCCAGTCCTTTTTCTCAAAAAAAGCAAAGCTCACAAACATATACAGTAAACAAACACACACACAAACACACACATACACGCAGGCACAGTTTCATGGGGGCAAAGCTCTAACTCAGGTGAAATTGATACAATCAAAGTTAAAATCCTAAGGGTGCAGTTTCCACTTACCTGACTTTCCCATGGTGCTGACACAGGAAGCTTTTGGTGAGATCAGTAACACACTTAAAACTGAACAAGAGTAGTCTCTCTTTCTCTCTCTCTCTCTCTCTCTCTGCTGCTTGCTGGCTCCCTCTCTTCCTTTAGTGCTGTCTGTCTAAGTCTGACGCTTTGAAACAGCTGCTAGTGCTTTTACAGATCTGCAAAGTTCCCCTTTAGCTATTTAGCTGGTAGTGCTGCTCAGTCCATAGCATGCTACTTCCCCTAGTTTTGTTTAACTTCATTTAACCTGCCTGTCTCTCTTAAGGCCACACCCCCAATACGATCTGCTTGCCCTGCGTCTATCTTTATGGCTCTGATGAGCACACACCCATTCTGTGTTTTTTCATTCCTACAAATAAAAGGGGAGCCCCTGCAGTTGTTGATGACATCATCTCAGTGAGACACAGGCCCATATATGGCTCTGAGTTTCTTGGTAGCCAATGTTACTCCTAGCAACTGTAACCAGGGCAGTGGCTTTTCTCACAATCCACGCTATCATGATGCAGCATTTTGCTATAGATAATGTCCCACTGAAGGCTGTAAAATCTGAGATAGGCCACAAAGTGCAGGCTATACATGATGCTCACTGCTATTTCTGATCTGACATATCTCATCTTTCAAAATGTCCTTTCACTTTCACTAATGCTGTTTGCTTTAGTATGTGTCAGTCATCAAAAACAAAAACAAAAACAAAAACTTTTTAGAGGACTTTGGACCTTTATCTTTCAGTAACTTCTGGATCAATAAGTTACCAACAATATACCCAATTGTAAATGAGTGATTCCTTTACCTCCACCCTGAATGAAAAAGCAATGATTGTGCAATTTGCCTACTGCAGTTGACATACAGAGAGAGGCAGAATCACCATTCATCATACTGCAGAACAGGTCTCTAGTATTTGTTTTGCCTGTATGAGGTATGCTACCTTCTGTGCTTTAATGGTATTTCCGAAGTGGGACATTTATCATTTTTAAAAAAAAAAAGAAGACATCTGCTTTAACAAAGGCAGGAACGGTGCACAACAGAACCTCAAAATGGATTACCTCATATTTTACTGTGCATCTCATAACTCAACTTTTTAAATTGTCTCTCCACTCCTTGTACAGGCCACAGCTTGTATAAAGAATGAAGACTTTAGAAAAAACAACCCTTTTCTTACACCTTCTAAATCAATAGGACTTCGTTGTGTCCGCACCAAAGTGTTGTGATGAAGCTGCTTAATGTGTAACAGTAGAATACTGAGGCTTGATTGCTAATCTCCCAGATTGTTAGGCCTGAATAAATAATGGTCAACTATTTATATCAGTTACTGCAAATGTTCTACATTCATGATCTCCAGAGGAAGGTTTACATTGGAGATACCTTTACCATTACTCTAGCACCATCATCTGGTCAAAACTTCCATTTAACCCGCTACGTATATAACACTTAATAATGATCATGGGTGTATTCAGGTAAATTGGGACAGCATTAGAAAATAGCATTGTACTTCTGCCCTGAAAAGGAAACTTGCTGTGGAAGTACTAATAAAGTCACATGACATTATTCCTGTGACATCACATGGGGAGTTGTGGTCAGCGTCATACAGGAAGAGAAATTACATATGATTCAGCCTGATTTTAATATAAGGGTATACAATATGAATGACTAGTTTATGGTAGATGGTGGTGGATAATGATTTAAAAACATGATGTAATAGTTTACCAAAATATATTGTTTTGAAATTGTGTTTACAAATTAGAATTTTCTGTCTTGAATGACTAAATTGGTCATTTTTGACAACATGTTCATCAGGTAACAACTAAATATATATTTGTATGCCTATCTTCTAATCCTTACATTTTCCAAACAGGCTTGTTACTTTAGCTTTAATGCAGTTGAGGGGAATTATTGTATGTGTATGTGTATGTGTATGTAAGTCGAAACAGACAAGAGAGGGAGTCTCGAACACATTTGAAGTGTCAGGTAGCTTTGCACGGAAATAGCTGGTAGAAATGTCATTCAGACCAACCAGAAAGTACGTTTTGCTTTTATACTTTAAGTACATTATAGAGCCTGTACTTTTCACTTTAAAAAGTATGAAGTATCTGTACTTCTTCTTGAGTAAAGAAGGCATGTACTGTTGCCACCTCTGCTAGTTTATTCATATAAAAAGGGAGACCTCACATCTGTCAACACAAGACCACAGACCTACAGCACACTTTTAAGTAGAGTAAGACTTTGTAAAAAATGTCACACACAGTTAATATCTTCACATAAAAATGTAGACAACTTGAGGAATTCATAAATGCACCATATGTTGGGTTACTTTTTAAATTGGTGACAATAACATAATCACAAGACATAAAAACTGAATCACTTTCCCATCCTCCACAGCAGTACTTTGTGTTTAGTTTGAATTAGCAAATGTTAGCAAGCTAACAAACTAAGATGCTAAACATGGTAAACAATATACCTGCAAAACAGCTAATTGGCATATTGTCATTGTGAGCATATTGCCATGCCAAATTAGCATTTAGCTCAAAGCAGCTGTGTAGCCTCACAGAACTAGCATGGCTGTAAAACGCTTTGTCTTGTTGAATTTTTTCCCCTCACCACATCTTGTAATTTTGCTGTCTTGGCAACTGATGCAGCAATTCATGCTGTGAATACAATACATCATAATTCCAAAGACAGCTTCATAAATGAGTCACATTAAGCTGCATGCCAGTTTGGAGAATGCGTGTCAGCTTTAAAAGAGGTCTTACAATCATCATTTTCATGTGACTTCTTAAGTCATCATAAGGCAACTTAAACTCCCCACAAAGAAACCAGATAATTGCTGCCTGAAAGGCTGATGCATCATTGCAAACACCAGTGTAGCAAAAAGGAAAAGAAAAAAAACAAAACAAACATGATGATATGTAGAGGAACGCTCTGAAATGCACAACGCTGACTGAAAGACAGTTTTTTTTCTGCTTGTGATAAAATTTTAATAGCTCGTTATTGGTAGGCAAACCAGATGCACCCATAGCACCCTGAGACATCATGTCAGTCATCAGCCCATATATTTCCTGAACATAAAGTATTCATACATACTGTAAATATATTAGTACCATTTTCTGTCTCTTTCCATTACTGCAGTAATTTTCAGCTCTTCATTCATCTTCTCCTGTTTGGCATCTGTCAGACCTAAAGGGAGAAGTCTGTTCTGAGATTCAGTAAGACTCATTTATGAATCTTTATTTGAAGGTATAAAATTAGGTACAGTGGGAATATGAATCCAATTATGTCAGTTAAAACATGTGCCACTCTAGATGAAAACACTTCACATCTGGGTAATCCAGCATTGTGTGTATAAGTTTCAACATCATAATTATTTTACATGCGAGGTGTAAGACAAAGCTGCAGCTGGACCAATTATCTTCGGGGTGAACCACTGATTTTAATCCACTCTATTTCAATAGAGAAAAAAAATTATGAGTTAAAATTAGTTTTTAAAGCAAGATTTCTGCTTTTGCATTATGAGGTGTTTCAATCAGTTTGCCCACTCTGCTGTATGAGAGCCTTCTACGTGTAGTTACTTAATTTGCCACAAGGTGGGACTGTTAGCAAAGACACGGCACAAGGACATGGTTAGACTATTAGTCACACTAAGTGCAACTAATGACATCTTAGTTTTATAATATGAGTGGACATGATGGGATTCATGTGAAAAGTCAAGCCACTTGATTTCTCATTAGCTGGATGGTGCTATCTTAACAAATTGATTTCCTCCTTGCCTCCTCCTACCATCTGCACAGTGATGGGACTGGACAGCTGGAAGAAGACATTTACGTAGTGGTCTCGAGACACTGAGACTTTACAGCCATACATCTTAATTCATACTAATTGAGATAGCTGCGGAGTGTGTGTATTTGTGTGTATCTGTGGTGTGAATGTGTGTATTCGAGTGCGCGCGTATGCACGTGTAGTGGGAGGGATGGTGATGTAATTTATAGAGAGAGCCCCTTTTAGAGGGACAGTACCGACATCGATCCATGCAGATATTACATCATTTATCTCTGCACATTGGCTATATCTGCTGTACTTATTGCTTGGCTCCCCTCCCTGTCAGCTGCAACATCGTTCCTTCGCTTCTCCTCTACTCCCCATCACTTTCCTTCTGTCTCTTATCCCCTCCCTCATTCCTCAATCTGTAATTTTAATTTTTTTTCTTACCTGAAGCCCCTTAATGAAAATCTTCCAGCAGATCCCTTATGAAAAAGAAAGGAACACCAAATTCTTTGTGGGCCAGAAATAATTTTCCACTCCTGTCATGACTGAAGTGAATGTGGATTTATGGCAACAGAAATGTGAAATAACTCTTACTGGGGCTGTAAGTGCACTTAGTTGCATATAATTCCTCTTTAGCGGTCCCAGGAGGAAGGTGAGGACTTTTTAATAACTCCTTCCATTCACCTCCATCCTCATTAAGAGGTCTAGTTGACTGAAAATGGAGAGATCTACTGAGGGGGTGTTGAGAGGATTGATCTCAACTGAGAGGAAGAGAAGTGAGGGGGCTGTACTTTTTCGAAGGAGTTGTTGGAAGCTCTCTCTCCACAGCTCCGCTCCAGAATTTGACACATCAAGAAGCCTTTTATGGTGTCATTAGTGTAACTGTTCCACCGAGGACAAATGATTCTGCGGGTTAAGAGGAGTTAATCACCTGCCAATCAAACCTCATCAAGCCGCCTCTACGGATGAGGCGTTATACAAATCTCATCATATTCATGCAGCCTTCAATTAAGCAGATACAGACAAGGACACACATGCAGAGACGAAAGAGTGACAGGGCGAGCAGAGGGCAAGCTGGGAGGGTAGGAAAAGGAAGAAAGACGGAGACAGAGACAGTAAGCAGAGCTGGACGACTCCTGTCTGACACTAAGCAGCAGAAATGTAATGTCTTAAAAGGCCATCGCAGTCAATAAAGTTCCTAATGTGCTTAAAGCAATTACTGTGTCCGGAGAGGAGCAGAGTGCATGCAGGATATTAACCTCAGTAACCCACTCTATCTGGCCCATAATTAAATTATCCTCACATCCTCATTCTAATACAGACACACATACACATATACACACACACACACACACACACACACACACACACACACACACACACACACACACACACACACACACACACACACCCACACGCACACACACTCATGCAAGCATGCATTTATGCATGTTCTCATAAAGTATGTGTTAACCGTATCCTGACCTGTTAAGAGAAGAGAGAAGTCACAACAAGAATAAAAGTGAAAGATTGATCACGTGGGATCTCAGTGCTGGTAACACTATC